TGGTGTGTAAGCATCATATGTGTTGTTTATACATATATATATAATAACTAAGTGTGTATATAATAACTAAGTGTGTAGTAACTGATTACATATAATCTGGATTATGTAATCAGATTTCGAAAATCTGGTTCTTAGAGTATGTTGTGGAAGGGCATTCGCCTCTGAAAACATGTGCCGGAATAGTCATTTCGCTGTGGTGACCCCTGATAAATCAAGGACTAAGCCTAAGAAAAATAAATAAATAACTGAATGTGTACGGTGCTTTAAATTGCTAACAATCATATTATATTGTTACACATCCATCACCAAATTATCCATAATTTATTAATTCTCTCCAATTCTTCTTGCGTCCCTTCTTAAAATATCTGTGATCAATACTAAATTTGTAGATAACTCACAGCAAGTTAGGCATAAAAAACCAACGTTCCAAAAGGAGTCAAAATACTTTGCCTAAAATGACTGCTTTAGAAGATGTTATTTACTACAGTTTTCCTACTGTACTAATGTAATTTACAGCGTCAGTTTATTTCCCTAGTACTTATGCTAATAAAAGCAGACCTTTTAACTTCAATTTCAGCTTATTTACTATTATTATTTAACTTAATGTGTTGTTTTATGTATTTCTGTTTTTCAGATTCACATCACACATAAGAACCAAGCCAGTATGCTGATGGGCCCTCAAGCCAAATCCGGCTTTTTCAAATAGATTTACCTACGCATGAAGATGATCCAGTTCGCTTCAAAACTCTGTGTGCATTAAAAGGACTGAAGGCAATGACAGTTTATGTACATTTTGCAAAAGAAGATGCTTAATAAGGTTTTAGCTCTTACCGAAATCCTTGTGTGTTTTTAGGAGATGATTCTTACATGAGGTACAAACTCTTCGCTGATATCCAATATGCTTTCTTTTTAAGAAACTAGTGTGCTCAAACTGTAGGTCATGCATTTTTTGCGTGCATTTTTTTTTAGCTGTGATACACATATCATGTGCACAGGTCATTCCAAATAAATAGCTTGTTTTAAGGTTATGTAGGTGTACATAAAATAAGCTTCAAGTGTATGAATCGAGGTTTGATGCAGAGTTATTTTGCTGTATAGTGGATTTCAAAACAAGAAGCAGATCTGTAATAATTCTGCATTAGGCTTTTAGTTTTTTTTGTAGTTTTCAGCCTACATTTTCTGCTGCTGCTGCCATAAATAATCATGAATGTTACGATTAATCCAGGCTAAACAAAGTGCAAGTGTGCTTTTTGCCAGAACAGTGAATAGTTTTAGACAATTAAGCCTAATGAGGCATCTAATATATACAGCCCGCTCAAATGTAAACACCTAAAATAGTAGGTGTACAAATTAGACAGTAACTTAAAACTAAATTAGCACTATCATTAGGTTATTTTCAATGTATCAAGAATGTATTGAGTCAGTTGTGTAAATGTGATTTTTGTTGCATTTCATACAATTACACAGTAATCGTCCTTTAGTCATTCTGTTGTGTAGACCAAACCTTAAAGGGTTTAGAATTAGATTGCGCATTTATGGCACTCTGGTAGACTTTTCATTTTAAAGTGCTCCTAAAAATGTAAAGGATCACTTAATTTTGTGAATTTGTCTGAATAAACATTTCAGTGTTTGATGATTCACAGTGTTTTGGTGCAAGTTTCATGGTCGCTCTTAAGGTGTTTACCACATACAAGCACTAGAGGGCGCCATTAGTTTGAATGATTTTACACCAGTCTGCCGACTATCCTGCTGTTTTGTTGTTTCATATCAAAAGCCACGTCTGGTTAACTTGGGTTATTTTATACGGATTGTGCCATAAAATACTTAACTGAAACAGGATAATTGTTACATAATTTATTTGGTAGCATTTTGTAATTTTTAAATGATATACTCTTGCTCACATCAATCATCAATAATGCATTTCAGTATTACAACAAATATTGATTAGACTAATAATTATTTGGGTCAATAATAATAGTATAACAATAGTGTCATCATTTTTATTTAAACTATCTTACAACAGCAGGAATATTACAAATAAAAAATACTGAGAATAAGTTTATTGTGAAAAATACAGAATTATACAGTAACATAGACCATATCAGTGTGGTGATGTCATTGGCCCATGAACATTTCCTGCTTGTTATTAAACTATTTCATAACTGTAAGAAAAGGCAATTTAATCATAGCGTAATTTTAAAACAGCGATCGTAATTTATCACTTTTCAATATGTGGCTCTTTTTGAATTCTCAGAAGCTATAGAAATTAAATAAACAATAAGCATTGTTTTTGTTTACATCCCTCAAAATGGTCTATACCAAAATACACATGCCAGAGTGTACATACAAGACATTCAACAATTAAAAATCTTATATTCCTGAAGAATATTATAAGCTGTCCTTGATCTGTTTTTTTATTATTAACAATTGTCTTCAAACTTGTAGTCCTTAGTCTCTTTAAGAAAGTGAACAAAATTTGGCTTTGATACAGACCTTTTTTTTATGTATATGAAACTTTCCCAAAATAAAAAAGCTGTACAAGGAAGTTAAATTTGTTACATTTATTGACATAATAAATGCAAATATAAAAATTGTGTAATTAACATGTAATATTGGTTTTCCTTCTAAGAGCATTTTCCATATTCACTCAAAAAAAATCTTGGCTACATACAATCACAAAACATATTTTTTGTATATTCTTTTCCCATGGATCACAAATCACAGGAATAATCAATATCCAAATGACAGTAAATCTCTCTAAACCCTCTTTAACTGGATATATTCAATGTAAAAAAAAATTCACACGAATGATAAGCTTTTTTTCCCAAATTATTTTCATAAATACATTGGTCTATTTAAAGTTTTTAAATATAACTGTATCACCTATTATAATATTTCTAATATATTTATTAGTATAACTGTTTAATGATATCAATGTCTCCTAAAAAAGGTTTTCTTTAACATATTTTCCTTCTAAAGACTCATTTCCATATAAAATGAAGAAGTTGTTAAGGTATAGCATCAAATACAATAGCATACTCCTTTAGAGTAATCGGAAAAACAAATTGATCTAAAAATTTACTGTAAGATAATAAGTTACCATTTAAATTTAGAAGTTGTCTAACTAATACAATATCATTTTCATACCAATTTTGGAAGGAGAAAGTTTTATTTTTCTATTGAATACATTTATGATTCCAAATAATATACTTATTTGGGGGAAAAATATGCTTAAATACCAGCATCTATGCCAATAAAGCTTGTTTGTGAACTCTAATGCTAAATCTGGGTTACAGTATAAAATAATAATAATAATAATAATTTGCATTAAATGTGCAAAACTCACAAATAAATACAAAATGAAGTAACATCTAAGTTTAATGGAAACTATATTTAGGTACTATATAACTGGCTATAGCTATATTTTCCAAGAATAGGTTGGGCGTTTAGAAACTGATATTAACAAATTGCTCTAAAGAACAGTCTCTGAATGGAGTCAATATGATATAAAATCTGATGAAAACACACCAGTCAAAACCCTTAAAACTACATTACTTTTTTTTACTGAAGTCAAACTTGTAGTCAGTGTCTACTAATTGCCTTAAATGTCAGTAATACTTCTCAAACATTATTTTATTTAATTTTTTTTATTGCACAAGAAGAACAATATAGCATACAAAAAATGAGGAATACCGTGGTTACACTTTCACATCAAAGGAACAAATCAATAAAGAAAAAAAAACTGGGAATATATAAATTACAAGAAATTTGCATAAGAAAATGATTCCAAAATTGCATAAATGCTTATAGCTTTTTTATTTTTTTAATGATTTTTTAGGATTTCGATATAATGCTTAAGATCAATTTTAAACAGATCACTGTTAGGTTTATCATTGGACTGTTTTTGTTTGTGTATATGGTACTTCCCATATAATATTTGTTTATTTAAAAAATAAACAAATATTGATCCAAAGTTTTATTATATGTCAAAAAAATTATCAAGAAAACAATTTATTTTTATTTTTGTGAGTTTAAATATAAGATACTCAAACATCAAACCAAAACATATGTGCATTCAAAAAAACAGGTTTTTAATCGATTCCTCCTCTAATTCACAAAAAGTGCAGGCAGATTCCACGTCTCTAAAAAATGTTTTAATTACCTGTATTACTGGATAAAATAAATTAATTAGTTTATATGTCACTTCTTTAACTTTATTGGTGAGGTAGTATTTACTACATCTAAAGCTCTCGATTATTTTGAACTGAAATGGTTTGTTGCAATTGGTTTCCTGAAATGGTTTGAGTTACCTTAACTTTTGGGGTTTTACAGTGTAGGTAAGTTCTAAACTTTTCCCCACTCAATCTGCTCCAAAATGTTTTGCAATTAGGCAATAATGTGGTCCTGCCTAACTTTGAATGTAAAAGTTATTAAATTTATTGTCTATAACTTTCACATTATTGATACTTAACAGATTAGTATGTAAAAGATTGGATTCAGAAGACATATTACCAGATAAGAGCTGAACAAGTCCACTATGATTTGCATCAAATACTATTGCAAATTCTTTAGCAGTTGGGATCTTGTAGTAATTATGAATTTCACAATAATTAAAACGTTGTCCATTCCTTTTGCAAAACTGTCTCACCAATATAATATAAAACACACTTTATATTTTAACATACTTTATATTAAATAATACTGTATATTTTAATTTAAACACAATTTACTCGTTCTTAAAGTTTTTAAAACCAAAACATAGCGTCTGTACATGACGACCAATTACATTGCGCCAATTGTGTGGTCCCGCCCTCTTAACGTAGTGCGGCTCTCCATTCGCTGGTTTACTCCACCGTATTTCCTTCAACATGTGCTTTTTTTCTGAACGCAGCGAGTGTGTTCGCAGATGCTGCTGAGGCTGTAGACTGTTGCACAAGTCAAAAAGTGTAGGCTGCTTGCTAGTGGGTGAGGTGTCTTTTCACCCACACTCAGTACCATTCATCTCTTGCTCTTCATTCTTCTTTTCTGTCTAACTGAGTGACACGCGGACTATGAAAAATATGACTTTCCGTCGCGTAAAGAAGCTGAATTCAAGCGATCCGGACAGCGGGTCGTTGTGTCACGACAGTGGAGATATTTACTTCACGTCCTCTAAATCGGACAGCTGTGGGATTGTGAATCGTGGACCCTCAAACTCCACCGAGGTTTACAATTATAAAACCCTTGCTTACTCAGGAGGAACCCTACCGAGGAACTTTAAAAAGGTTAGTATTTCATTTGTGTTGAGATTTAGTTTTTCTGTGTTTGACTGCTTACTGTTTACATTGTCAAACGATAGGTTTCTGTTATGATATTTATCTACATACATTTAGCCGTGGAGCCCATAGTGAAACCTGTATTTTGGATTGTTCTGGATCAGTTCACTTATAATGTAGTCAGACCAGCTAAGACCTCTTTTAAAACTAGATAAGACCAACAAACCATTTTACAGTAGTTTAGTCTGTGTTATTATATTTAACTAACTTAAATTTCTAAGGAGTCCAGAATTGCAGCTCTGATATTATTGCCTTTATAATAATTCTTATATGTCTGATTATTATAAACTATTTCGGGGCACTTTTCAGCCTGTCAGACCAGCTAAGACCATCTAAAAGTCAAATAGGACAAAACCATTACTGGTTTGAGCTGTTTCAATGTTTTGATGTTTACCTTCCTTAAACTGCCTTGCTGAATTAACCTAGTCCAGACTAAGTATGTTTACTTTACTTCATTAGCCTCACAAGCTATGGTCAAACCTGTATTTTTGTATGTTTTTGTGTGGGATTTGTGCACCTTTCAGTTGATCAATGTTCAGTTGAAATGCTTTACTCCAGCCTGAGGTTATTTGCTAGTCATAGTTAGCCTTGCTGCCCATGGTCAGTTGTTTGTTTTTTATAATTTCTGGACACTTCGTCAAACCAGCTAGAACCATCATAAACCAGATAAGATTAACAGTTCAATTTTGACTTGTTTAAGTTGCTTTTTGAAGTTGTTGTATACTTTAAAACTTCTTGTTGAATAAATCTAGCCTAGGATTGTTTGCTAGTCTGTGTTAATCTCACAAACCATGGCCAGACTAGTATTTTGGACAGTTTTAAAGATGTTTGAAGACCAGAAAAGAAGAACATATTTTTGACAGTTGAAGCCATCTCTTTATGGTATCTTATTAATGAACCTTATAATTCCTTGTTGCTTTTTAGTTCAGCTTATGATTCGTTGCTAGTAAAGTTTCTTTAAATTGTTTTAGAGGATTTCTGGACTTTTGTTTACCTTGTCAGATGACTATGCCATTTTTAAACTAATCAACCCATTTAGGACTGGTTTAATCATTTGCAACCATTATATGAAAGATATGTATTACTACCAGAGATGATTTAACCAGTAGATCAGTCCGGTCAAACTTGTACTGTAATCTGCTTGGTTTTATGTTGGATTTGTGCACCTTTCAGTTGATCAATGTTCACTTGAAATGTTTCAGTTCAGCCTGAGGTTATTTGCTAGTCATAGTTAGCCTTGCAGCCCATGATCATTTGTTTGTTTTCTATCATTTCTGGACACATTTTAGCTCGTCAAACCAGCTAGGACCATCACAAAACCAGATAAGATGTCTTGTTTAAGCTGTTTTTAAAGTTGTTGTATACTTTTAAAACTCCTTGTTGAATAAATCCAGCCTAGGATTGATTGCTAGTCGGTGTTAATCTTATAAACCATGGCCAGACTAGTATTTTGGACCATTTTGAAGGATTTCTGGGCACTTCACAGTTTAATTAGACCAGCTAAGACCAACAAACAATTTTGACGAATGGTTCAAAACCATTTCTTTAATAATATGTTAGTTAAAATATTAATAAGCCTTATAATTCCTTGTTGCATTTTGGTTCAGCCTAAAATTCATTGCTAGTTTTGCTATGGTCAACCTGTACTTTATTTTTTGTTTTGGCTTGTCAGATGACAAGATAAGACCCTTTTAAAACCAATCAACCATTTTAAGACTGGTCTGACATTTTACAGTCATTATGTGAAAGATAACAGAGATGATTCAACCAGTATCTGAGTCTGGTCAAATTACAATTCAGCTTAGAGTCCAGCACACATTTATTCCCACATCAATTTACTTAATAACTTTGACCCCACTATTCATAACTAATCCTAACATCAGCTACTGGATTTAAAACTTGACAAGTAACACAGCACTTGCTTGCCTCCTTTATATCTGCCCTCATATGCAAGTACATCTTGAATGTATTGTGTGTGTTGCCTGGACTTAATTAAGCACACAAACATCAGTCCTGTGACGGGTTTGCTATGATTAGAAGCAGCAGTGTAGATGCAGCACTCAAGTTTGATTAGTTTGAAGTATTGCACATTTTATGCTACCCTTATTAACACACCTGAAGCTCATTATTATCTCATTCTTTCCCAAATATTCATTGCAGGAGTACCCAAGGGTTAACAACCACTGTTAAGAGAATACTTAAGGCCGTTAGACCTAATTTAGGTAGTCAAATGGAATGCCTCAAGCAAGCAGTTGTCATAGATTGTATGGCATGTAAGGAAATTCTTGACCTGCGCTCATTCACACCTGTCCATCAGTGCGCATCTGTGACTGTTCCATCGTTGAGCCTCATTTGCATGTTTACGCGTGGGCAGTCATGTGGCGCTTTGAGTGACTACACTTTTTCATTTCTGTGTGACTCTGAATCATTTCATGTTCATGCATTACTGATGATCACTCATATCGTGTCATAGAGAGAGATTCAATCTGTACATTCCACTGTAAGTGTTATCTTTCAGTGATTAGGTCATATGTGATAGAACATCTTAAGCTAAATAAAAGCTCAAAAAAAATCTAGTTAATTAATATATAATTTTGAATTATTATTATTATTGTTATTATGCAATTTATAAGTTCCATCATATATTCAAATTAAAATCATTCAAATTAATGATCATTTTATTTATCATTAATTATGTTATTATAATTTCACTAGATGAGTTGCTTTATTTGCCAAATTTAATTTGGATAATTCTGTTGGGTGAGTGCATATGCATGATATTTAATAAACAATCTACAAGCATAGATAAAATCAATGAAGAAAAATATTTCAAAGCAATTAAACTGTGTTCAGGTATACAGTAATTGAATAATTAAATGTAAAATAGTTGCTGGATCTGCAATGTCAAGTTGCAATTGTAACTAACCAGAAAATAGTTTGGAACAAAGTTTAACGCTTAAAGATTTTTTTTTAAGGTCTGTTATTTTAAGCGAATTTAAACCATTAAAAATAAAATTTGTAAACCATTAATTAAGATTAAGTGAATTTAATTATTTCTATAACGAAGGCTATAGTAGTCAACATTTGAGGCAGATATAATAAGTTTTTCAAAATTGCCTTTTTGTTGAATTGTTTTCGGACAACTTTGGTGAAAGGTTTTATCCACTTTAAACGTTGACTAAGTGTTATTTTTAAGTGTTATTTTATTTTTGTACCTTAACACTGTTGTACTTTTTAGAAAATCATAAGACATAAGTCATCATGTGAAAGTATATTCATATTGCAATAAATATCACAATTAAACAAAAATCACAATGTCTGTTTTTTCCAATATCGTGCAGCCGTAAATCTAAAGTGAACCAATAAATGGAGATTGGTTCAACTTTAATTTGTTTTATTTTTCAATTACCAATGTAAATTGTTCTTTAACAAATCTCCATTGATAAACAATAGTAATCTAGTGGGAGAGAGATCTATTTTAAGTTTTCTAAATGAAAATCAACTTTGTTTTAAATGTAATATCTAAAGTAAACTAATAAATGGAAATTGGTGCAACTTTCTTTTTTCGACTACTTAAAGAATGAATAAATAGAGTACTAGTCTCCCACACTTCCATCTAAATCCAGAGAGAGACATTAATCTGCTGATCGCCTCTACACTGTACTCTGCTTTAGTGAAATCCTTTGCTCTCCTGGGTTTTGACCATACAGATGCGAGTCTGCTTGGTTCTGGCCCTTGGGTTTAGACACTGGAGTGTGTTTCATGGTCACTCATGGTGTAAAGTGTTTCCTGGTGCCTTTGGACCACCCACATTCAGGACTGACTCCACTGACTGTAAACAGCTCGTATGTGTCTTTGATGCATTCTGGGCCAGCTCTTTTACAGTCCACCTCCTGTGTGGCCTGTCGAGCCATTTTTATTGAGCCTGACCAAGTGTCCAGTGCAGTGAAGACCCCTCTGGATTGTCTGTGACCTTTGAGGTGTGGGAGCGAATTTATTGCTGAATTGAACAAGCTCGAGCCACCGGCGTTCAGCGTGATTGTGTTGTTTTGCCATGTAATGAAATGGCTTTTGAAATTCAAATGGTCTGATAGGATCGCTGTATCTCCGGGAAGCTGTCTGCTGGCAATCAAAATAACATCTATAATCTAGCATGTTATGGTGCTGATATTCTTAAAGGGAAAGTTCACTCAGATTGGACAAGCCTGCTATTATGTAGTCAACTTGTTCTAGACCTGTGTGATGTCCTTTCTTCTGTGAAACCTTGAAGATATTTTGAAAATGTCTCTGTTTTGTGTATTGTTTTACATTTTAGCATACACTTTTATCCATAGCTGCTTACAAGTGAGAAATAAAAAAAAACTCTTCTAAGCATCAGAGAGTTGCAGTACATAAAAGCTATGACAATATGAAAATTTAGTTTATTTCTTCCAAGAAGTGTAGGGTGCTTCTAAGAAGGTGTCTGGTGCATATGAAGAGGAAAAGAGCGTCACCTACAAGTGGTTTGTCAACCCCACTCACCTGCGTGAAGCGCACTAAAGCTGTAGTCACACTAGAGTTTGAGCTTGCGAATTTCTTTCGTATTGTACTACAAAAAGGGCCAGGATTAAACAAGATTATTAAAGATTAAAAAAGAGAGCGATTTGCTCCATATTAGAAATGATATAGCCATATTTGACCTTTTATTGGTCTCACGTAATCACATGATGTGATTTCGCAGATCAGAGTTCACCAAACTTTCGTTGCAGGAGCTTGAGTTCCCGCTCTGCCACATTCGCTTGCGAATGAATAGAAGTCTATGGGGCGAAAGTGCAGAGCGACCTTGGCTTAAGAACTGCACGTTTGCCCGAAACATAGTGGCTGTTTCTCAATTCCATAAACTTGGGGAACGGATTTGTGTTATTGTAAAGACCGCTCTTGCAAGGTCACCTCGGAAGAATGAACTTGGGAGACTGTGAGTACACAGAACGCATCCTGTGAGAAATGAAATGCTACGTTCTTTCTGAAGGTCACATGAAAACTTTACAACATTCATACATTGATTCATTGTTTTTCCATTTTCAATATATATATAACATGCACAAAACCCTTACAAATATACTTTGCACAAAATAAATAAAGCAGATTTTAATATGAATTTCAGCTAAATGAACACCCTTAATGTGTTTATGCCTTTTATAAAGATTTTCATAGTAATGTTTACTTTGACCATCTCATTTAGGGAAACTCCTGAGATAAATAAGTTGTATCTCTGAACTTAAATAATAAATCTATATAAAATGCTGCACTTTCCACCTCTTTTATTCAGTTGCAATGACTTCTGGGACTTCTAGAGCAGGTTCGGTGCTTAAGTCTGCATTGGCGCATCCTCAATACCAAGAACACATTCGGGAACTTTCACGCATCCTCCGTTCTTGCAGTCTTGTCTTTAGTTTCGGAATTGATTGATAATGAAATTACATGAAGCTGCAAAATAACTGGAGAACACGTATTGAGAAACAGCCAGTGTTGGTAAGAAAATGTCTGGTGCATATGGAGAGGAAAGAGTTTGTCTGTTTATCCCTCCAAGGGACCCTCTTAGTTACATTTGAAAAAAATGAAGGCATTGAGGGGACCCTACGACAATTCTCAAAGTGTACGAAAATAAAGAAAGGCAATGTTTTACTAGATTAGGAGGGCTTTGGTACAACTACAAAGTGCACTTTGTGGGAAAGATTTTGTCTGTTTGTTTTGGTTGTTTTTATGTTGGTTTAGTTCTGTTTAGTTTAGTTTTTGGCTTCAACATATTAGCATTAGTTTGCAAACACTTGAGGAAATTAAAAAACAGACAAACTGTCCCTTAACGACAATGTTGTAGCTCTTTACACAAAAAATCTTTATTATTCGGGTGGAATGACAGCAGTTCTTTGCAGTTGCCATTTTAATATCAGTTGCATTTTAATTTGAAGAAATTAGCCTTAAACAAAGCTTACACACAGCTGAGTACTGGACAAGCTCTTGAATTGTAAGGGCAGGGCAGGTTTATGAACAGCTCTCTGTATCTGGACTCCTACATTTTGCGTGAACGCCAGGCCACAACAGGGCATTGTGCGAAGGAGCGCTTCGACTCCCCGACCAACTGCCCCCAAGGGACCCTCTTAGTTACATTTGAAATAAATGAAGGCATTGAGGGGACCCTACGACAATTCTCAAAGTGTACGAAAATAAAGAAAGGCAACGTTTTACTAGATTAGGAGGGCTTTGGTACAACTACAAAGTGCACTTTGTGGGAAGTTAAAGTTGTTGAGGTAGAGCCCGATTGAATGGCCTTCTGTAAGAGTGGGTGCATTATAAATGAATTCTTATGTCCGTTGTATGGTCTATGTATCTACTATCACCAAGAACACCAGGGCAGTTGTTGTTGTTAGCACATGACAAAACTTGTATTCGCCAACCTGGCTACATCTTAGATTCTCCTTGTGATAATTTCTAAGACTTTCAGAGATAACCAGACTGGAGATGAAAAGAAAACTGAGACTGAAACGGTTAAGTGAAAACAGCAGAAAAACATGCATTTCAGGTTATTTCTGCAGAGTCAGGCAAGCTGTCTAACAGCATATATATAGTTGAAGTCAGAATTATTAGCACCCGTGTGTGTGTAAATAAATAAATAATATATATTATTATAAATCAAAATAATATATAATAATATATATAAATAAACAAATCACACATTAAAAAATTTCTGAACAAAAGTTTTAATCAGACCCTATAGTTTGTTATGAATTTATAATTTATCATATTAGGTAGCCTACTATGTTAGGTGTGCAATCTGACAATAGAAATGACATCATAAAAAGAAAGCTTCTTTATTTTGGTCTCTCTTAAACTTAAATCTAAAATGGATCTAAAACTTTAAGGATTAAACCAAAGGAAGTTTGTATAACTTTTATTTTTATCCACGATCTTACTTTCTCTCAGATTTCATTCAGGACATGCCGTAATATATCTAAAACACAGATTGCCGTAAAATTCGTCAATGCCTGGTAAGCATTTTCTCTCGTTAATGGCAGGGAAAGAGTTAAGGTTATTAGTCACTAAGTCTGAAATTTTTGGCTGTACTTTTCGCACTTTAAAAAAATAATTTGACCTCGCATTTTGTGAATAGTTTTGACACACTACCTCCAAAACTTTCTTTTGCATTAAATTCGAACCGTAGTTCGATTTTTATTTATTTATTTAAAAATAAAATCCGCTTTTCGCATCTGAAAAAGCTGCTTGTTTCATTGCTCCGTTTGTTAGATGTTTGCTCCCACTTTCTTTAGCAGTCAGAAGTGCATCAAATGAACAAAATGCACAATTTGTGCCGCAGGATGTCTAATCTCATCTTTGTCATTGACTTCACATGTAAATCTCTTGCGCTTCATCCACATCTGCTTACTGCACAGGCTGCAAAACAGCCCCTTGAAAAACTAGGGGGTCCGATTAATAACTAATATATTTTTAATAACTGATTTCTTTTATCTTTGCCATGATGACAGTACATAAAATTTTACTAGATATTTTTCAAGATGCTAGTATTCAGCTTAAAGTGACATTTGAAGTGTTAACTAGGTTAATTAGGCAAGTCATTGTGTAACGATGGTTTGTTTACTTGACTATCGACAGAAAAAAATTGCTCAAGGGGGCTTAAAATATTGACCTTAAAATATTTTTAAAAAATTAAAATATGCTTTTACTCCAGCCAAAATAAATAAGACTTTCTCCAGAAGAAAAATATTATAGGAAATACTATGAAATTTTTTGTGTTCTCTTAAACATCATTTGGGAATTATTTGGAATAAGAGCCAAAAATTACAAGCCATAAGCCACAGTGTATGTGAAATGAACAGACTCTACAGAAATGAGCACAAGCTACAGCTCAAACTCTGAGAAAAGACCTGTGGATCAGGGGGATTCCATGTGTACAAGGACACATTTTCCAAATGTCACAAAAGACACTCATTCTCTTCTCTCTTTGTCTTTCTGTTTTTCCCTTCATCTCTCTGTTGTGCTGAACAGAACGGTGGGCTGCAGAAATGGAAGCCCCTCACGCAGTCTCCAGAACCGCAAAGGTAAAACTGCCACTGCTTTTTATCCACCCACACAGGTTTGATTGCATGCGTCATCGTTATTTCCCTAAAATACTCTCTATTCACTCCAGTTATAAAGACGTCAGTATGTAGTCAATCACGTCTTTTACAAGGTGTCATGTAATAAAAATAATCCTCTGTGTTGAACAATTCCACGTATGGATGTATCAATGCTCTTTTCAGAGGACAGAATGAATAAAATGAGGCTGGAGGGAATCTGATCGGCCAGATGGTTGCATCTCACTGTATGTGTCAGTTTATTGTTTAGTAAATGCATAATTCATGAGTGCCTAATGATGTGTATGTATATGTGCGCTTATGTCGGGGTATTCACGATGGACGTGTTTAAATCCCCAGATTGCTCAATTTGTCTAGACGACTACTTCTACCCAACAGAAGTCCATTCATGCCTTCTGGCTGTTGTTATTGAGAACTGTAAAAACAAAACTGTGTGTAACAAAGAGTGTTAGTATGAAACCAAAAGCACTGTGAAAACCTAGCTCAAGAATGAGCTGTTCACGTTACACCCTCCAATTTGATGCTTTTTTTAAACATTTTAGTTTTTCACACATTTCCTGTTTCACCATAAAGACGTATTCTCTAAAACAGCAGTATCATGGGCTTGATTATGCATTTCCTCTCTGATCTTTCATCATCTTCGTTCCTGTAAGCACTGACCAACAGTCAAGTTCATAGATCAACCACTCAGAACGTCACTGTACAACGGTCCCTTTTTCTGCTCGTACTAACAGAATATCTTCTGTTTCCTTTCTGAATTTCCTTCCAGAAAAACTGTGATCCTGCAGAAGAAAGAAGAGGAGTCCTTTGGCTTCGAGATCCAGGTAAGAGAGATTTAGAGACTATTTAGTATAGGGAACTTGTTCTTGTATGAATTTCTTAAAGGGATAGTTCACCCAAAAATAAAAACTGCTGTCATTTACTCACCCTTTCAAACCTTTATGAGTTTAGTTCTTCTCTTGAACGCAAAATATGATTGTTGCAAACCTGTAACTGTTGACTTCAATACAGGGTTCATATGGTTCTGGAAAACCTGGAAAAGTCATGGAATTTTGACAAGGCTTTTTCTAGGCCTAGAAAAGTTTTGAAAAATCAAAAAACCTTAAATGAAATTAGTTTAACAAATATCTGTGTACTTAAATATATTTGAAATGATATTTAAGAATAAATTTTACATTTTGTTGGGTATAAAGCAACTTCAAGTTTCAGCTTCACCTCTTCTTCACTCGCATTCATTGTAGTTCAAGCTACATTTTCAGTGTGGTGTCCAGAAACGATCTCTTACTACAGAGGTTAGAGGCTAAAGGCTAATTTGTACTATTTTTATAAGAGTCTTATAAAAATACAAGCCGACATTTCCAAAAATATTTTCACACAGACAACAAGATACGTTCTAAAAACAATTTTACAGATATAACAATAAACAAGCATATTTTTTGATTACCATACGTAGATCGTCACATATTTTCTAATTTATATATGAAAAGTTCAGATGCAAAAATCTCTAAATGCCATCTGAAATGTTTTTCTAAAATGTTTTTTTTTTATCAGCCTCCTATATTTATGTTCAGTTAATTCACTTAAAAGGCAAAGAAAAGATCTTATCCAACATTATAAATGTAAAATTAGTGAGCCAACACACACGAGTTGGAGAAAAATGCAAATTTTAGAAGAAAATATTAAATGGCTTTTAGAGGTTTTTGCATTTAAACTCTTCATATATATATATATTTTTTTTTTCAATATACATGTTTTATTATTTACGTCATGTGCTGTACGTTGACATTGTAAGCAACATTAGGTCATGAATATTTACCTAAAAGTCATGGGAAAATCCTGGTATTTTAGTAGTAAAAATATGTATGAAAACTGTCAATAGTATTAGTTTGTTCTATTATGAAAATCAATAGTTACAGGCCTTTTTCAGAATATATTTTTGTATTTAACAGAGGAAAAAAAAACTCTTAAAGGTTTGGAACCACTTGAAATAAATAATGCCTAGATTAAATAGAGTAAAAAATATATATATAGAGATTTTCATTTCTGGTTGAACTATCACTTTAAGTCTCTAAAATGGAGAATTATTTTACTGGCGGTGCTAACACGTTCTAAATGTTAAATGTTCTACACATGCTCAGAAATAATTATGAATGACAATAGAGCTATTGTTAGCTGTTATGTTTAAGGTCTCACTATATAATGGATGACATGTTTACGTGACCTCTTTTTAAACAAAAAGTAAAGATCTGTTAAGGTTTATCCATGTAGAATCAGTCTGCGAATTACAGGGGGGTTTGACCCCACTAATTAAGAAATGATCCCCCATAAAGCATGTCAAACTGGTTAATAGTTTGCTCTGATCTGTATTATTAATAAAATATTATTATTAATAATAATAATAATAGTAAGTTATTATGAGTCTAAATTTGACCCCACTTTAGAACAGTTATAAGTTTGCACCCCCTAAAAAGGATGAGCTTAAAAGATGGACTTACTGTTCACTGTATAACTTATGTGTAAGCATAGGTGTCTATTAAATAACACGCAGAATACTTTTAGGCTACCAAACAACCAATTTACAAAACAAAAATAAAAGACCCTACCACATTTATGATGCTTATGGTGCCAATGCATGATCGTGCCAAGCTGTGATGCAGACTCTCCAGTGTGGTCTGAAAAGGGCAGATCCAGCCCACAGATTAACACTGTAAGTGTTCAAGAGACACTTTTTTTTCTTTGTAAATTGGTTGTTTGTATCTGCAAACCCATCTATGGTCTAAAAGTTAAGTCAGACTAGAATGTGTGTGTGTTTTTTAATAGACACTTATGCTCACACATAGGTTATGCAGTAAACAGTAAGTCAGTCTTTCAAACTTATCCTTTTTTTAGGGGGTGCAAACTTATCACTAATCAGCATAATTTGCTGTTTTATATCAAAAATAATGTTTTTTTAAATAATTTTTTTTCATTTACTGATAAAAGTTTTGTCGTCGATCCCAGTTGTAAGAGCAGCAGATAATAACTTGACTTTTAGTTGATCGTTTGGAAAAGTGGCAGAAGTTAGATCTTTCTGATGAATCATCTGCTAAACTACACACCAATCATCACAACTACTGAAGAAGACCTTTTGGAACCTGCATGGACCCAAGATTCTCACAGAAATCAGTCAAGTTTGGTGAAGGAAAAATCATGGTTTGGGGTTACATCTGCAGAGTTAATGGCAACATCAACAGCCTGAGGCGTCAATACATTTGTGCTGCCCATTACATTACAAACTACAGGAGAGGGCAAATTCTTCAGCAGGATAGCGCTCCCTCTCATACTTCTCATACTAACCCTAACCCTAACCCTCCACATCAAAGTTTCTGAAAGCAAAGGTGGTCAAGGTGCTTCAGGATTGGCCAGCCCAGTCACTAGACATGAACATTATTGAGCATCCCTAGGGTATGATGGAGTCATTGAATATGAATCCAAAGAATCTTGATGAACTCTGGGAGTCCTGCATGAACGGTTACTTTGCTATTCCAGATAATTTATTAATAAGTTATTTGAGTCATTGCAGAGATGTATGGATGCAGTCCCCCAACCTCAAGGGAGTCATACACAATATTAATTATTTTTCCACTGCACCATGACTTTATATTCCATACTGTACATTATTTCTGTTAAGTGACAAGACTTTTGTCTAAGTAAAGTCAAGCCTTACTGTCCTAATTAAATATTTAAAAATCAAGACATGATCGTGTTTTATTTTGGTAAAATAAGCATAAACTAGAGGCCTTTATCTTTTATATAAGCCACTTCTGATACCAAATGATCAACTAGCAGTCGAGTCAATATTTGTTGTTCCTAAAACTTGGATAGACGACAAGACTTTTGAAATAAAAAGGTAAATTTGGTTCAGTGAGGCGTTCGTCAAAATTATATGAACCACTGAAATAAAGCAGACCCTCGCACACAGCATTTCAGTTTTAATAATTTTTTGGACAATCAGAAGTTTATCAGCGTGAGAACTTTTTTGTTTTGATTTCTCCACTATTTATTCCTGATTCCTCATTGTGAAACGATTATAACTAATAGCAATCATTTATCCTGTTTCAGAACAGTTTGTCATTCCTCATGACATATCACCAGATAGCTAGTTTATAATTAGAAAGGAATAATAGTTGCAGTTGGAGGGGGGAGGACCACTCCTTTCCGGCTTTGTCCTCTAGTACAGGACATGACATCATCTTTCTGTCACATGAGAGGCAAAATATCAAGAAATGAATTGTTTTCTAGGATGTCGTGTTTTAGACAACATTGTTTTTAGTGTGTGTTAGCAGCAGGGACACGGTTGGCCGTATCTGCTATGTAAATACGTCTGTACTTTGCATCTCCTGAGGCGCTCCATGTGTGTCTGACATTCTGGTAAGAGTTTGGAGTGTGTGGAAAGAGGAAGGAAGCACACCATTCCAAATATTTGAAAACACTTTGCGACAACAAAAGAAATCCATCATTTTCACAGACTCTAAATCATGCCTCCAAGTTATGGAATCTTCAACAAATGATCATCCTTTGATTGACAATATTTTAACTAAAGTTCACCAACTACAAAATCAGTTTTATCACATCATTTTTTGCTGGGTTCCTGGACATGTCGGGCTTTTAGGCAATGAGCGAGCTGATGCTGCTGCTAAAGATGCTTTGAAGCAAGTAATGAACAAATGCCAAATTCCTCCGTCAGAGATGAAACCTTTTATCAACGCTTACATTTTAAACAAGTGGCAAAAGGAATGGGATGCATTAGAAAACAATAAACTACATGAAATCCAACCTGAAGTTTCACACAGAATTTTAAGACATTTTAAGAATCGATTTGATCAAGTAGTTTTTACCAGATGCCGTATTGGACATACGAGAATTACACATGGATTTTTGCTCCAAGGTGAAAACCCCACTCAGTGTTTGTGCTGCAAAACTCCTATCACTGTAAAACATATTTTACTGGACTGTCCTGCTTTTACTGATTCCAGAAGGACTTTTTATGAAATGAACTCTTTTAAGGACATTTTTGACAAAGTGGAACCAGAAAAGATTTTAGAATTTTTATCATGTATTAACACAAAAAATCTTATTTAATTTATGTTTTATTTTGTTTGTTGATTTTTAAATTGTATATTTATTGTTGAAAGATTCCTGCCATGAAGATAGCCTTGGTTGCTGACATGGCACTAAATAAAAAATACATTACATTACAAAACACTTTGCGAATGATTCACATTGCTGAGTTGTTTGTAAATGAAGCCTTTACTTTCTTCCATGATGCAGGAAATAAGTAATTTGTTGCAGAATGAGAATGGAAAAGTTGCTCTTTTTTTAAACAATGAAATGAATGACTACTTGCTGTTTCAATATACATTTCAGCATGTTCTTTGCACAAGTCTGTTGCATGGCTTTGAAAGGCTTTGATATTTAGCACACATTGGTTTAACATTTTGTGTGTGTGTTTTTTTGTCTGAAGTTAATGGCCATATTCTCTATTTTCTTTTATTGTAAAAGCCACAAGTGCGCTTCAATTTTTATACGTCAGTTTACTGAGGCTATTTTACATATGGAGGGTAATCAGAGCCAGTCTTTAAATGTAATGTCTGAAGTTAAATTGTCAATAATTTAAATAATACAATTAAATACTGTTATTTAAAAAAGTAAGATTGTATTACATATATACAGATGACAGAGCACCTTTTGAGATCAGAGGAGTGAGTTTTACCTGCGTAGCACTTCTCTAGCTGGCCTCTGTTACACTCACCTCACTAAACCTCACTCCCATTCTGGACAAGCC